TGACTTTTTTTTAGAGATCAGAAAATAATCCATTTTTTTTTTACGATTTTTGGATTCTTTTTTAGAGATCAGAAAATAATCAATTTATTTTTTTTTACAATTTTTGGACTTTTTTCAGAGATCAGAAAATAATCGATTTTTTTTTTTTTACGATTTTTGGACTTTTTTTAGAGATCAGTAAATAATCAATTTTTTTTTTTATGATATTTTGACTTTTTTTCAGAGATCAGAAAATAATCGATTTTTTTTTTACAATTTTTGGACTTTTTTCAGAGATCAGTAAATAATCAATTTATTTTTTTTTATGATTTTTTTTACTTTTTTTCAGAGATCAGAAAATAATCGATTTTTTTTTTTTTTACAATTTTTGGACTTTTTTTCAGAGATCAGAAAATAATCTATTTTTTTTTTTACGATTTTTGGACTTTTTTTAGAGATTAGAAAATAATCAATTTTTTTTTTTTAACAATTTTTGGACTTTTTTCAGAGATCAGTAAATAATCAATTTATTTTTTTTTATGATTTTTTTTACTTTTTTTCAGAGATCAGAAAATAATCGATTTTTTTTTTTTTTTTTTTTACAATTTTTGGACTTTTTTCAGAGATCAGAAAATAATCGATTTTTTTTTTTTACGATTTTTGGACTTTTTTTTAGAGATTAGAAGATAATCAGTTTTTTTTTTTACGATTTTCTCCATTCATGTATGATCATCGTATGGAAATAAATGTTTCATTAAAAATTCAGATGAAATTTAATTTAAAAAAAAAAATAGAAATTAGTTGTCTTTGTGTAAATCTTTATAAATCTTTATAAATTCTGTACAGACCACGTGACTCCGAGCGGCCAATCAGCTGCGGAGGTTGTGGCAATGGAAAGGCTGATCGGTTACAAAATATCCAGTTTTGAACAATGGGGTGTGCGCCTTTAAGAACTAGGCTCCGCCCCTGGCTGTGGTCAGCTGACTTGTAGTCACATGCCAGAGGAGGAAGCAGTTGGCTGCTGGAGTCATGAGGGTGGAGGTGCTGCTCTGGGCCCTGTGTGTTGGGCTGGGGGCCACAGGGGCCCCTGAGGAGGAGACCAGGAAGGTGAGAGCTGTAGAGGGGGAGTCTAGGGGGGGCTACAAATCCCAGCATACCCTGTGAGGGGGTCTTGCTGGGGGTTGAGGTCACTGTCTATTGTCTGTGATTCGGGGGAGGGGACCGGCTTACACAACCCTGGAGGACTACAGCTCCCAGCATGCCCTGTGATCAGAGACATGCTGGGACTTACAGTACCTCTTTGGGTAATGAGCCATGGTTGTTGGGTGGGGGGAGGGTGGTTTTTATGTACATAGCCTGGGGGACTACAACTCCCAGCATGCCCTGTATCTGGAGGCTGCCAAGGCATGCTGGGTCTTGTAGTTGCACTTTGGGTTAGGAGCCGTGCTCTGTTGGCTGACTCAGTGGGGGAGGGGTGTGTACCCGGCCTGGGGGACTACCACTCCCAGCATGCCTTGTGACCGGGGGGGGGGGGTTTTTGCCAGGACATGCTGGCACTTGTAGTTCCTCTTCGATTACCCAACCACGGCCTCGTATGTTGGGATTCTGAGTGTGCAGGGAGGGTGTTTACCTATACAGAGCCCGGGGACTACAACTCCCAGCATTCCCTGTGATCTGGGGCATCCTGGGACTTGTAGTTTGTATGAGCCGGGGTCTGATGTCCGCCTGGGACTTGTAGTTCCTTGTAGCCCAGTGAGCTGACAGTCCTTGTCCTGGGACCGGCCCATGTTGTCACGTATGTCCTGTGATGTCACGTTGTATGTCCTGTGATGTCACTTGTATGTCCTGTCACACGTTGTATGTCCTGTGATGTATGATGTCACATTGTATGTCCTGTGATGTATGATGTCACGTTGTATGTCCTCTATTAGATGTTCTTCTATCATATCTCACATATCTGTGGCGTGTATTGTATGTTCTCTGATTGTCTATCACATGTTGTCTCCCATCCCCAGACTTCCTGTGTGTGTTGTGGTCGGCTGGGTGGAGACGGCTAGTCCCCCTCCCCCCCCCTGACTCTGGTTGGTGTACAATGTCTGCTACCCCTCCCCCACCCACCATGCCTGTCCTTGGAAAGCCCCTGTAAATAATACTTCAGATGGGGGCTGGGAACTGTACCCCCGCTGTGCCAATTATGAGGGGTTCCCACCATCCCTGTCCCAAGTTTCCGGGTCTTTACCCCTGCTATGCCCATTATGAGGGGTTCCCACCATCCCTGTGCCGAGTTCCGAGTTCCCCCGGACCCATGTACCCCCGCTGTGCCCATTATGAGGGGGGTTCCCACCATCCCTGTGCTGAGTTCCCGGGTCTGTACGCCCGCTGTGCCCATTATGAGGGGTTCCCACCATCCCTGTGCCGAGTTCCCGGGTCTGTACACCCGCTGTGCCCATTATGAGGGGTTCCCACCATCCCTGTGCTGAGTTTCTGGGTCTGTACACCCGCTGTACCCATTATGAGGGGTTCCCACCATCCCTGTGCTGAGTTCCCAGGTCTGTACCCCCGCTGGCCGGCTGATGATGAATCTCTTCCCTCCTCAGGTCTCTCTGGAGTTGAACCCCGGCTCCTCCAACTCCACCCAGAACCTCCTCCATATCCGGGCAGTGGATAATGGCAGCACCATCCATTACGTGTGGAGTACGATCGGGGCCCCCACCGTCCTCCTCATCTACACGGACAGTAATAACACGCGGCTGAAGGTGGACTGGGCCAAGCTGGAGTCCCCGGAACCCCGCGGAGCCATCCGAGTGGAACCACCTGACCGTGTCCGCTACTCCACCGCCCTGCTCTTCACCCGGGTACGTCACATGACCGATTGCTGCACGCCACATGCTGACCGTCCCATAGATGTTTATTGGACACGTGGCTGCTGTGTCCCTATGTGATGTGGGCGTGGCCCCGAACACGCCCTGCGGAAGTACAGGGGACACGGCTCTTACATTGTATATCACATGTTACATAGCATCTTCTCGCACATATGATATCACATGTTACATAGCATCTTCTCACACATATGATATCACATGTTACATAGTATCTTCTCACACATTGTATATCACATGTTACATAGCATCTTCTCACACATATGATATCACATGTTACATAGTATCTTCTCACACATATCACATGTTACACAGTATCTTCTCACACATATTATATCACATGTTACATAGTATCTTCTCACACATATTATATCACATGTTACAAAGCATCTTCTCACACATATCACATGTTACATAGTATCTTCTCACACATATATCACATGTTACATAGCATCTTCTCACACATATTTGTATATCAATGTTACATAGTATCTTCTCACACATATGATATCACATGTTACATAGTATCTTCTCACACTTTGTATATCACATGTTACATAGCATCTTCTCACACATATGATATCACATGTTACATAGTATCTTCTCACACATTGTATATCACATGTTACATAGTATCTTCTCACACATTGTATATCACATGTTACATAGCATCTTCTCACACATATGATATCACATGTTACATAGCATCTTCTCACACATATTGATATCACATGTTACATAGCATCTTCTCACACATATGATATCACATGTTACATAGCATCTTCTCACACATATGATATCACATGTTACATAGCATCTTCTCACACATATGATATCACATGTTACATAGCATCTTCTCACACTTTGTATATCACATGTTACATAGCATCTTCTCACACATATCACATGTTACATAGTATCTTCTCACACATATCACATGTTACATAGTATCTTCTCACACACATTGTATATCACATGTTACATAGTATCTTCTCACACATATGATATCACATGTTACATAGTATCTTCTCACACATTGTATATCACATGTTACATAGCATCTTCTCACACATATCACATGTTACATAGCATCTTCTCACACATATCACATGTTACATAGCATCTTCTCACACATATCACATGTTACATAGCATCTTCTCACACATATGATATCACATGTTACATAGCATCTTCTCACACTTTGTATATCACGTTACATAGCATCTTCTCACACATATTATATCACATGTTACATAGTATCTTCTCACACATATTATATCACATGTTACATAGCATCTTCTCACACATATTATATCACATGTTACATAGTATCTTCTCACACATATTATATCACATGTTACATAGTATCTTCTCACACATTGTATATCACATGTTACATAGCATCTTCTCACACATATCACATGTTACATAGTATCTTCTCACACATATCACATGTTACATAGCATCTTCTCACACATATTATATCACATGTTACATAGTATCTTCTCACACATATTATATCACATGTTACATAGCATCTTCTCACACACATATTATATCACATGTTACATAGCATCTTCTCACACATTGTATATCACATGTTACATAGCATCTTCTCACACATATGATATCACATGTTACATAGCATCTTCTCACACATATGATATCACATGTTACATAGTATCTTCTCACACATATGATATCACATGTTACATAGCATCTTCTCACATAACAATCCTGTACTTTCAGCCTGAAGAGGAGGGAAGAAGGAGTTAATGGGGTCAAATCCAAGAGATTAACAGGTCAGGGTGCTTTAACTACCTTCATATGTAGATACAATGTTTATAAAAACAATGTTACTCTGTATCTCTCCATCTCCCATCTGATCAGACGGGAGATGGAGAGATACAAGTAACATTGTTTATAAACATCTGATCAGACGGGAGATGGAGAGATACAAGTAACATTGTTTATAAACATCGATCAGACGGGAGATAGAGAGATACAAAGTAACATTGTTTATAAACGTCGATCAGACGGGAGATGGAGAGATACAAAGTAACATTGTTTATAAACATCGATCAGACGGGAGATGGAGAGATACAAAGTAACATTGTTTATAAACATCGATCAGACGGGAGATGGAGAGATACAAAGTAACATTGTTTATAAACATCGATCAGACGGGAGATAGATACAAAGTAACATTGTTTATAAACATCGATCAGACGGGAGACAGAGAGATACAAAGTAACATTGTTTATAAACATCGATCAGACGGGAGATAGATACAAAGTAACAACATTGTTTATAAACATCGATCAGACGGGAGATGGAGAGATACAAAGTAACATTGTTTATAAACATCGATCAGACGGGAGATGGAGAGATACAAAGTAACATTGTTTATAAACATCGATCAGACGGGGGATGGAGAGATACAAAGTAACATTGTTTATAAACATCGATCAGACGGGAGATAGATACAAAGTAACATTGTTTATAAACATCGATCAGACGGGAGATAGATACAAAGTAACATTGTTTATAAACATCGATCAGACGGGAGATAGATACAAAGTAACATTGTTTATAAACACTGTGTCAGGCAGTTCCCACCCTTCACAATAGCCAGCAGGTGTTGGGGGGGGGGGGGGGGGGGGGGGGGTGTCAGAAGGACGGAGCACACTGTACGCATCCTATGTACTTCAGTGATGTTTTGTGCAAGGATGATATATAATAAATCTCATATAGTACACAATGATGTTAAATTAATCGATAAAAATATTCAATTGAATGTGCCACACTAATCATTTCTCCATAATTGTAAATACATAAATGGTGCAAAAAAAAAGTGCTAAAGTGCATTAAAAAAAATATGAATAAAAATAATTTAATATAAAAAATCAATTTAATTGAGTTCACTCTGTGATTTCGAATTTGAATCCCCCCCCCCATCCCCCGACGAAGCCACGTGACCCGGTGGCGTAACGCGTAGGGGGAGGGGCTCTGACGTCCCAACGCCACTTCATCATCATTCTATCATTTATTTATATATTTTTTTAAATATTTTATATACTTATTTAGGAATAAATCGCACAATTTTAGGACTGGTATAGGAGGTATATTAATTATATGTCTGTATCACGGATATATTAATTTTGTGGAGCGCGACACATTTAATTTATTAATATCCGTTTTTTTTCTTGTTCTCCATTCTCAAGATTTTTGAATACAAAGACATCAACAACACGGCCAATTTCACCGGCACGGACAGGAAACTCTTCTACCCTCCATATGATCTGTCGGAGTTCACCTGGGAGAGCGCCAGAGGCTCCATGAACTCCTCCTCCTCGCTGACGGCACGCCTGAGCGGAGTGAATTCCACCGACCCCGACGGGAACTTCAGGAACGGGAGTGTCACCTTCCAGGTGAGTGGGGGTTGTGCTAGCATGAGATCAGTGAACCTCCCCGGGATATGGATCTGGTCAGGTAAGTAGCAGAGGGGGTTGTTCATCAGTTTCAGCTGCTTTGGTGTTCATGAAATTACCAACAGGTGCACTAGATGGGCAACAATGAGACGACCCCCAAAACAGGAATGGTTTTACAGGTGACATTTTTGTCCCTACTCATCTTTTCTGACTGTTTTTCACTACTTTTGCATTTGGCTCGGGTCAGTGTCACTACTGGTAGCATGAGGTCATACCTGGACCCTACAGAGGTTGTACAGGCAGTCCGACTCCTCCAGGATGGCACATCAGTACATGCCATTGCCAGAAGGTTTGCTGTGTCTCCCAGCACAGTCCCAGCACGGAGGAGATTCCGGGAGAGGAGAGCGCGGAGGAGATTCCGGGAGAGGAGAGCGCGGAGGAGATTCCGGGAGAGGAGAGCGCGGAGGAGATTCCGGAGAGAGAGCGCGGAGGAGATTCCGGGAGAGGAGAGGAGAGCGCGGAGGAGATTCCGGGAGAGAGCGCGGAGGAGATCCGGGAGAGGAGAGCGCGGAGGCAGTTCCGGGAGAGGAGAGCGCGGAGGAGATTCCGGGAGAGGAGAGCGCGGAGGAGATTCCGGGAGACAGGCAGTTCCTCTAGGAGGGCTGGACAGGGCCGTAGAGGGTCCTTAACCCATCAGCAGGACCGGTATCTGCTCCTTTGTGCAAGGAGGAACAGGATGAGCCCTGCCAGAGCCCTACAAAATGACCTCCAGCAGGCCACTGGTGTGAATGTCTCTGACCAAACAATCAGAAACAGACTTCATGAGGGTGGCCTGAGGGCCCGACGTCCTCTAGTGGGCCCTGTGCTCGCTGCCCGGCACCATAGAGCTGGATTGGCATTGGCCATTGAACCCCAGAATTGGCAGGTCCACCACTGGCGCCCTGTGCTTTGCACAGATGAGAGCAGGTTCCCCCTGAGCACATGTGACAGACGTGAAAGGGTCTGGAGAAGCCGTGGAGAACGTTCTGCTGCCTGTAACATGGTTCAGCATGACTGTTGTGGTGGGGGGTCAGTGATGGTCTGGGGGGGCATCTCAATGGAGGGACACACAGACCTCTACAGGCTAGACAATGGACCCTGACTGCCATTAGGTATCGGGATGAAATCCTTGGACCCAGACCGTTGTCAGACCGTACGCTGGTGCGGTGGGTCCTGGGTTCCTCCTGGTGCGGTGGGTCCTGGGTTCCTCCTGGTGCGGTGGGTCCTGGGTTCCTCCGGTCCTGGTGGTGCACGACAATCTCCGGCCTCAAGTGGGGAGAGTATGCAGGCCGTTCCTGGAGGATGAAGGAATTGATACCATTGAATGGCCCCCACGCTCTCCTGACCTAAATCCAATAGAACCCCTCTGGGTTGTCATGTTTTGGTCCATCCGACGCCCCCAGGTTGCGCCTCAGACTGTCCAGGAGCTCAGTGATGTCCTGGTCCAGATCTGGGAAGAAATCCCCCAGGACACCATCCGTGGTCTCATTAGGACCCTCCCCCGACATTGTCAGGCATGCATACAAGCACGTGGGGGCCACACAGACTACTGAGGACCATTCTGAGTTACTGCAATGACATTTCACCAACATGGACTAGCCTGCTGCATCATTTCTTCACTTTGATTTTCGGGGTGTCTTTGAATTCAGTCCTTTGTAGGTCGATCATTTCCATCCAACGATGGGGCGTCCTTCCGTTCCTCACCCATCCCCCGTCCATGTCAGTATAGAGATCCAGCAGGAGATTCCTCCCCATTGAGATCTGATGGGACTTCAAAGTCTTCCTCTCATTTTTTTGAGCCGTGTAGAATATAGACTGCAACTTACCAGTCCTGAGAGGTGGCGTCTGCACTAGTTTTCTTTGTTTTGGCCAAAAACATTTTCTGCAAGTACAGAATAATTTGTTGATCCTGCCAGATATCCAATTTGAATGAATTTATTTCTCGCAGGTCTCTGCGTACGAAGGCTCGGGCCGCGATCACTCCTCTCCCCGGCTGCTTCACAGCGCCAACTGCACCAAAATGGAGTTCATACTGTCCGGGGTCAGACCGCGGGGCAATAACTCCCGGTTCGCCCTGGAGATGGTGACCCTGGAAAAGAAGGCCGGGCGTAAGAAGATTCGGTCCGTCCGCTCCATCGATGACGAATACACCCCGACTATCTTTGAGGTACACTGGGATTGACAAAGTCCAGGATGTCCAGAGGGACGGCTGGGGGTCACTGGAGACCCTGGAGTAGAGGGACGGCTGGGGGGTCACTGGAGACCCTGGAGTAGAGGGACGGCTGGGGGGTCGCTGGAGACCCTGGAGTAGAGGGACGGCTGGGGGGTCGCTGGAGACCCTGGAGTAGAGGGGCGGCTGGGGGGGCGCTGGAGACCCTGGAGTAGAGGGACGGCTGGGGGGGGTCGCTGGAGACCCTGGAGTAGAGGGACGGCTGGGGGGGGTCGCTGGAGACCCTGGAGTAGAGGGACGGCTGGGGGGTCGCTGGAGACCCTGGAGTAGAGGGACGGCTGGGGGTCGCTGGAGACCCTGGAGTAGAGGGACGGCTGGGGGGTCGCTGGAGACCCTGGAGTAGAGGGACGGCTGGGGGGTCGCTGGAGACCCTGGAGTAGAGGGACGGCTGGGGGGTCGCGCTGGAGACCCTGGAGTAGAGGGACGGCTGGGGGGTCGCTGGAGACCCTGGAGTAGAGGGACGGCTGGGGGGTCGCTGGAGGGACCCTGGAGTAGAGGGACGGCTGGGGGGTCGCTGGAGACCCTGGAGTAGAGGGACGGCTGGGGGGGGTCGCTGGAGACCCTGGAGTAGAGGGACGGCTGGGGGGTCGCTGGAGACCCTGGAGTAGAGGGACGGCTGGGGGGGTCGCTGGAGACCCTGGAGTAGAGGGACGGCTGGGGGGGTCGCTGGAGACCCTGGAGTAGAGGGACGGCTGGGGGGTCGCTGGAGACCCTGGAGTAGAGGGACGGCAGCTGGGGGGTCGCTGGAGACCCTGGAGTGAGGGACGGACGGGGGGTGGCCGGAGACCCAGGAGTAGAGGAGGGGCGGCTGGGGGTGGCCGGAGACCCTGGAGTAGAGGAGGGACGGCTGGGGGTGGCCGGAGACCCTGGAGTAGAGGAGGGACGGCTGGGGGTGGCCGGAGACCCGGGAGTAGAGGAGGGACGGCTGGGGGTGGCCGGAGACCCGGGAGTAGAGGAGGGACGGCTGGGGGGTGGCCGGAGACCCGGGAGTAGAGGAGGGACGGCTGGGGGTGGCCGGAGACCCGGGAGTAGAGGAGGGACGGCTGGGGGGTCACTGGAGTTGGGGTTTACATCTACTTCATCCACTCCTTTAGTGCCCCAGGCGATCATGAGGCATTAACCACTACTGTTGCTTGTGTAGCCCACACCGTAGGGAGCCACTTGTAGTGATTGAACCTCACTCTTCGTGCTTTGTGTAGTGTGACTCGGCCACCAATCACGATCCCCGCACACCAGCGACTATCAGTCACCATCTCCTTACGCCAACCTATTTCTCCCGACAGGTGATGGAGTTGGTGCCGGACTTTCCCAACGCCAGCCACGCCCTTGGCTACTTCCAGTGGAAGTCGGTGGCGTACGGCGACGTGGGGGGCAGGAGAGCCGACTCCCTACCCTGCATAATGTACAAGCCACGCACCCTGAACGAGACCCTCCGGGTCCCCAGCATTGTCTACGCTTTCTACGGGGAAGACCTGGCCGACGGGTACAACATCGAGACTTATAACGTCTCCTTCGGGATCGCAGACGGCGACTTCTACGACAAACACAGCTTCCTGGGCTGGTAAGAGTGACCCGACCTCCGTCCCCCTTCCCGTCACGCGAGTCGGTGATGTTCCTTAAGGTGGTTTCACTTCCCTCTCCCCCCATGTGCATCCTGCGCCACCATCAGAGCTGGCATGGTTGAGGAAGAACAATCTGTACAGCCAAGTGGCAGTGGTGACCAGCTTATACAGTACCTTGAAAAAGTCTTCACGCCCCCCTGAAATGTCTTCCATGTTGTGTTGTTACAGTGTAGTCCTCCCCTTGAAATGTCCTCCATGTTGTCATGCTACAATGTAGTCCTCCCCCTGAAATGTCCTCCATGTTGTCTTTTACAGTGTAGTCCTCCCCCTGAAATGTCCTCCATGTTGTCATGCTACAATGTAGTCCTCCCCCTGAAATGTCCTCCATGTTTTCTGTTACAGTGTAGTCCTCCCCCTGAAATGTCCTCCATGTTGTCATGTTACAGTGTAGTCCTCCCCCTGAAATGTCCTCCATGTTGTCATGTTACAGTGTAGTCCTCCCCCTGAAATGTCCTCCATGTTGTCATGTTACAGTGTAGTCCTCCCCCTGAAATGTCCTCCATGTTGTCATGTTACAGTGTAGTCCTCCCCCTGAAATGTCCTCCATGTTGTCATGTTACAGTGTAGTCCTCCCCCTGAAATGTCCTCCATGTTGTCATGTTACAGTGTAGTCCTCCCCCTGAAATGTCCTCCATGTTGTCATGTTACAGTGTAGTCCTCCCCCTGAAATGTCCTCCATGTTGTCATGTTACAGTGTAGTCCTCCCCCTGAAATGTCCTCCATGTTGTCATGTTACAGTGTAGTCCTCCCCCTGAAATGTCCTCCATGTTGTCATGTTACAGTGTAGTCCTCCCCCTGAAATGTCCTCCATGTTGTCATGTTACAGTGTAGTCCTCCCCCTGAAATGTCCTCCATGTTGTCATGTTACAGTGTAGTCCTCCCCCTGAAATGTCCTCCATGTTGTCATGTTACAGTGTAGTCCTCCCCCTGAAATGTCCTCCATGTTGTCTTGTTACAGTGTAGTCCTCCCCCTGAAATGTCCTCCATGTTGTCATGTTACAGTGTAGTCCTCCCCCTGAAATGTCCTCCATGTTGTCATGTTACAGTGTAGTCCTCCCCCTGAAATGTCCTCCATGTTGTCATGTTACAATGTAGTCCTCCCCCTGAAATGTCCTCCATGTTGTCATGTTACAGTGTAGTCCTCCCCCTGAAATGTCCTCCATGTTGTCTTGTTACAGTGTAGTCCTCCCCCTGAAATGTCCTCCATGTTGTCATGTTACAGTGTAGTCCTCCCCCTGAAATGTCCTCCATGTTGTCATGTTACAGTGTAGTCCTCCCCCTGAAATGTCCTCCATGTTGTCATGTTACAATGTAGTCCTCCCCCTGAAATGTCCTCCATGTTGTCATGTTACAGTGTAGTCCTCCCCTGAAATGTCCTCCATGTTGTCATGTTACAGTGTAGTCCTCCCCCTGAAATGTCCTCCATGTTGTCATGTTACAGTGTAGTCCTCCCCCTGAAATGTCCTCCATGTTGTCATGTTACAGTGTAGTCCTCCCCCTGAAATGTCCCCTTTGTCATGTTACAGTGTAGTCCTCCCCTTGAAATGTCCTCCATGTTGTCATGTTACAACGTAGTCCTCCCCTTGAAATGTCCCCCATGTTGTCATGTTACAATGTATTATTGGGATTGGATGTGATGGACCGACACAAAGTGGCCCAGAAGTGGAAAGAAAAAAATGAGAAATGGTTTCCAACATTTGTGACCCATAAATCTGTGAAATGTGTGGCGGCATTTGGTCTCTGACCAAACAATCAGAAACCGACTTCGTGAGGGTGGCCTGAGGGCCCGATGTCCTCTAGTGGGCCCTGTGCTCACTGCCCGGCACCATAGAGCTGGATTGGCATTGGCCATTGAACCCCAGAATTGGCAGGTCCACCACTGGCACCCTGTGCTTTTCACAGATGAGAGCAGGTTCCCCCTGAGCACATGTGACAGACGTGAAAGGGTCTGGAGAAGCCGTGGAGAACGTTCTGCTGCCTGTAACATGGTTCAGCATGACTGTTCTGGTGGTGGGTCAGTGATGGTCTGGGGGGGCATATCCATGGAGGGACGCACAGACCTCTACAGGCTAGACAATGGCACCCTGACTGCTATTAGGTATCGGGATGAAATCCTTGGACCCATTGTCAGACCCTACGTTGGTGCAGTGGGTCTTGGGTTCCTCGTGGTGCGGTGGGTCTTGGGTTCCTCGTGGTGCGGTGGGTCTTGGGTTCCTCGTGGTGCGGTGGGTCTTGGGTTCCTCGTGGTGCGGTGGGTCTTGGGTTCCTCGTGGTGCGTTTGGTCCTGGGTTCCTCGTGGTGCGTTTGGGTCCTGGGTTCCTCGTGGTGCGTTTGGGTCCTGGGTTCCTCGTGGTGCGTTTGGGTCCTGGGTTCCTCGTGGTGCGTTTGGGTCCTGGGTTCCTCGTGGTGCGTTTGCGGGGGTCCTGGTGGGGGGGTCCTGGGTTCCTTGTGGCGCGGCGGGGTCCTGGGTTCCTTGTGGCGCGGCGGGTCCTGGGTTCCTTGTGGCGCGGCGGGTCCTGGGTTCCTTGTGGCGCGGCGGGTCCTGGGTTCCTTGTGGCGCGGCGGGTCCTGGGTTCCTTGTGGCGCGGCGGGTCCTGGGTTCCTTGTGGCGCGGCGGGTCCTGGGTTCCTTGTGGCGCGGCGGGTCCTGGGTTCCTTGTGGCGCGGCGGGTCCTGGGTTCCTTGTGGCGCGGCGGGTCCTGGGTTCCTTGTGGCGCGGCGGGTCCTGGGTTCCTTGTGGCGCGGCGGGTCCTGGGTTCCTTGTGGCGCGGCGGGTCCTGGGTTCCTCGTGGCGCGGCGGGTCCTGGGTTCCTCGTGGCGCGGCGGGTCCTGGGTTCCTCCTGGCGGGGTGGGTCCTGGGTTCCTCCTGGTGCCCGACAATGAGTCAGTACTTTGTAGGACCCCCTTTTGGCCGCAAGTCTTTTGGGGATGTGTTCATTCATGACTGAAGCCTAGTAAACTTTTTATTTTTGATGGGGGGGCGCTGTCGTGTTGGCTGTATGAAGAAGCCCATGTGATGGGGTGACAACGCATGATCACAATTGGGAAGCAGGGACAGAGTGTTGTCACCCTATAACAGGAGGTGCCTTCATGGCAGGATCACCAAGGATTGTTTTTAATGGAAACTCCGGATTCAAAGATATTAAAAATGACTTTGAAGGACATGAATGTGTTGAAGATTTTGAGTTTTTTTTTTTTTGGTTTCATTCGCAGTCCTTGAACCCCGTGTTTCTCATTGCAGGTCAGCGTTGATCGGTTACGGCACGCCGCCCCGCGATTCCTTCTCCGTGCTGGTCATCTGCATCATGGCGGTGGCTCTGGGCACGCCCTTGGTGCTGCTAATGGTGGGCGCCATGGTGGTGTTGGTGATGAGGAGCAAGAGAGTCGTGCCCAGCTACGAACCGGTGAACTAGGAGGAGAGGACTCCTCCCACCTCCGGACTATTTGCACAAAGAATACTTGAAACTGACCAATGGCAATATGGATGGACTCATGATTGGCCGATTCCGATGGTCACCGCTCCTACGGGCGACCTGGCTTAAAGGGATTGTCCACAACACGGTGGTCTTAACACTGACTTCTCTACTTAGATCTGCAGCCAAAACTCCAACCTTGGTTTTAACGGGAGGACCTGCATAGGACTTGGACCCGAAATCTAAAGTTCTCACTCCAGCCCAGATATTATTTTTTTTTTATTCGTTTTGGATCGAATAGGAAGAGCTAAAGTAGAATTCTATACGAATTATACTCAAACCTTCCCCCACCCCCCATTCTAGGTCTATTCTGGCTTCCCTGGAAGGGAAAGATGTCTATACTTACCTATTCTGATGGTGCTGCGGTCACATGATCGGGTCACAGCGCCACCTTCTGCGCTGGAGGAGGGATAGCGGGCAACGGAAGCCCCATAGCAAGCCTATGGGTGACGTCATCGTGCAGTCTCTGCAGCCGTTGCCAGCGATCTCTCCTCTACACTAAAGGGATCATGTGACCGGACCAGAATAGGTAAGTATAGACATTTTCCCTGGGTAGATAGACTAGGCCTAGAATGGGGGTGGGAGCAAATTTTGCTATAGCTAGAATTTGATTGGACACTAAAAAACTGAACTCCAGGAACTCATTTAAATGAGAGAGGATGTAATTCAATTTTGTGTGCACCAGATGCCTTTACAAACCAAGATATTACCTTGTAAAAGTAACAGTGTGCTGTAAATGGTCTGTGCAGAGAGTGGAGCTGTGGGAGGGGCTCAGCAGGTAGAAAACTACAGGAGGGGGTGGAGACGACACTCACCTGGAACAGGGAGAGAAAGCAGGGTTGTGGGAGGGGTCTAGCAGGCCCCACCCACTACAGAAAACTTCAGGAGGGGTGGAGACAAGACCAGTCACCTGGAACAGGGAGAGAAAGCAGAACTGTGGGAGGGGCCCAGAAGGCAGAAAACTACAGGAGGGGGCGGAGATGAGACCAATCACCTGGAACAAGGCGAAAAAGCAGAGCTGCGGGAGGGGCCCAGCAGGCCCCACCCACTACAGAAAACTATAGGAGGGGGCTGAGATGAGACCAGTCACCTGGAACAGGGAGAGAAAGCAGAGCTGTGGGAGGGGCCCAGCAGGCTCCACCTACAGGTCGCCAGCAGAAATTACAGAAGGGGGCGGAGACAAGACCAGTCACTACACAAGGAGAGAGGGTAGCAGGGGGCTGTCTTTATTACAGGAAGTCCTCACTTCCTGTTCTGGTGACACTGGAGAGAGGAAGTTGTCACCAGGAAGGGACAGACCTAAATTAAACCTTGTTTATGAATGGGGGAACACCGTGCACCTACCTCGGCCAGTGCAGATGGGATGAAGGTATCAAACGGTATCAAATGATACGTGTGGTTCAGTGTGTGTTCAGTCTCCTCCCAGGTGTGTGGTCCCATGATACGTGTGGTCCAGCACCTTCTCCCAGGTGTGTGGTCCCATGATACGTGTGGTCCAGCATCTTCTCCCAGGTGTGTGGTCCCATGATACGTGTGGTGCATCTTCTCCCAGGTGTGTGGTGCAGGTGTGTGGTCCCATGTGTGTGGTGCATACGTGTGGTCCAGCATCTTCCAGCAGCATCTTCTCCCAGGTGTGTGGTCCCATGATACGTGTGGTCCAGCATCTTCTCCCAGGTGTGTGGTCCCATGATACGTGTGGTCCAGCATCTTCTCCCAGGTGTGTGGTCCCATGATACGTGTGGTCCAGCATCTTCTCCCAGGTGTGTGGTCCCATGATACGTGTGTGTCCAGCACCTTCTCCCAGGTGTGTGGTCCCATGATACGTGTGGTCCAGCACCTCTCCCAGGTGTGGGTCCCATGATACGTGGGGTCCAGCACCTTCTCCCAGGTGTGTGGTCCCATGATACGTGGGGTCCAGCACCTTCTCCCAGGTGTGTGGTCCCATGATACGTGTGGTCCAGCATCTTCTCCCAGGTGTGTGGTCCCATGATACGTGTGGTCCAGCATCTTCTCCCAGGTGTGTGGTCCCATGATACGTGTGGTCCAGCATCTTCTCCCAGGTGTGTGGTCCCATGATACGTGTGGTCCAGCATCTTCTCCCAGGTGTGTGGTCCCATGATACGTGTTAGAGCAAAGATCTAACTCACAGAACTTCCAACGGGTTTGGGGGCACCACATTTTGGGGGCACCAGCACATGCTTCCAGAATCAGCCATTACACCTCAGTGTTATCCTTGCTCAGCCAATATTTTATAGGGAACCTCTGGGCTTCCCCCAAAAAACCCAATGAGGGTTCTACCCCTAAACCCGCCCCAAGACCCCATCCAATAACCTGTTGGCTAGAGTTGAGCTTCAAGTTTGCCTTCTCTGGACTAGCTGCTGTTCTGGTTTCTTCTCCCAATGGACAGAGGTCTAGTTGGCAGGTAATGATAAGGAAGGACCAATCCGGTGACTGGGAAGTGAGAATTTTTATCGGGTTGTTGAATCTGATGACTTTGTTCCTCCTTCTGTGGGTTTCCATCCAAAAACCGAGCTTCTAGTTTTGGCTGTAGGTTTCGTTTTGAAGTGGCCGGGCCACAAGGGTGGCTTTGTGGTGTTTTTTTCTCCCTCTGGACGGGGGCGTGGCCAAGTCTTGCCAATTGCCTTTTTTTTTTTTACTTTTTTTTTTCTTTATCAATGCAAACTTGACATTGGGCGGCGGTTTTCCTCTGAGGACAGAAATCGGGGGGCTTTGTGCCACCACCTGCTGCCTGTTATATCCCAGGGGAGGCCGGGATAAAGTGCACCTGTCATGGACAGTGTTGGCACCTTTTCTGGGTGAAGCAATATGTTTACTAACGCAGGTTGCCTGTATTCGGTGCTCGTGCCGTGTTACTATTAGACGATAGACCAAAGGTGTTTGGGGCCAAAATGGTGCATTTGTTCCAGAATTCCCACTTGATGAGACCCCCCCCCCCCCCCCCCCCCCACACACACACACACACTTCCCCCTTACTTTCCCCATCTAAAAAGAAAAAAATCACACTAAAAAGAGCTATAAAAGTACCTGTAACAAATAAATATTCACCCGGATATGTGGTTCCATGATACGTGTGGTCCAGCATCTTCTCCCAGGGTATGTGGTCCCATGATATGTGTGGTCCAACATCTTCTCCCAGGTATGTGGTCCCATGATAGGTGTGGTCCAGCATCTCTCCCAGGTGTGTGGTCCCATGATACGTGTGGTCCAGCATCCTCTCCCGGGTGTGTGGTCCCATGATACCTGTGGTCCAGCATCTTCTCCCGGGTGTGTGCCATGATACCTGTGGTCCAGCATCTTCTCCCGGGTGTGTGGTCCCATGATACCTGTGGTCCAGCATCTTCTCCCGGGTGTGTGGTCCCATGATACGTGTGGTCCAGCATCCTCTCCCGGGTGTGGTGCCATGATGTGGTCCCATGATACCTGTGTGTGGTCCAGCATCTTCTCCCGGGTGTGTGGTCCATGATACCTGTGGTCCGCATCTTCTCCCGGGTGTGTGGTCCCATGATACCTGTGGTCCAGCATCTTCTCCCGGGTGTGTGGTCCCATGATACCTGTGGTCCAGCATCTCTCCCAGCGTGTGTGGTCCCATGATACCTGTGGTCCAGCATCTTCTCCCGGGTGTGTGGTCCCATGATACCTGTGGTCCCATGATACGTGTGGTCCAGCTTCTCCCGGTGTGTGGTCCCATGATACCTGTGGTCCAGCATCTTCTCCCGGGTATGTGGTCCCATGATACATCTTCTCTCCGGGTATGTGGTCCCATGATACATGTGGTCCAGCATCTTCCATCTTCTGGACTGCAGAGTGGAAGGGTCCTTCAAGTGCCAATGTGGCTTTCCATTGGCTGTCTGGCATACGTGGTCCTCTTAGGTTCCAGAGGACTTCAATGGCGTGGTAACATCAAGAAGACGGATGGGGACCGAGACCACAGGGGGGGGGGGGGGGGGGGAACAAGTCTATTAATAGTCTGCCTTTTGGAAGTTTTTTTTTTTTTATAATTGGTGTGGGTGCTGGAGGTAAGGCTGGGTTCACACTGTTGCGCCTTTTGCACTCATTATTAATGGCGCCCCCATTGCACCTTGCAAACATTCACACACTGGGGAGGTTTTGCAAAAACTGGAGCGCTCTCGTTTGGTGCAGCTGTGCATGGCAGCCAATCAGCTTCTACCTTTTAACTTGTTCAGTGACGCTTTGATAATAAAAACCTGGAAGCTGATTGGCCACCATGCACAGCTGCACCAGTTTTAGTAAATCTGCAAAAAACTAGTTCTTGTGCGTTGTTGGGTTCAATTTGGTAGCCCATTCAAGCGAACGAGGTGCCTTGATGCAACGCACGTTATTGCGCATGAATGCCCGGTCAAGAGTGTGCCCCCAGCCTAAGCTTTCCCTTGTGGTGGGCTTTAAAGAGAACCTGTACTCCACCTAATGCTGTGGTAGAGGGGGGGGGGCTAGAGAGGCTAGAAGGTTTTGGTGCATTTCAGAGGTGTCCCATCAGCAGGGGTGTGTGTGGAGGATAAATGGGACTAGCTCAACTATCCTTCAGAAAATCGATGTGACACCAAATTCCCGAACGCCAATCTATTTTATAAAAAATGTGTTGCGCCTACTAAAAATCGGTCCATTTCCTGTAAGCTCCGCCCTCCGGGGTGGACTGACAACTCATGGGGCCCCCGGGCAATAGGGGATCATGGGGCCCGTGTCCTCGCCCACACTCAAACCACACCCAAAAAAGCCTATGAAAGGTACCAGGGGCATCTAATGGGGCCCCCTACTGAGCCCGGGGACCTCGGCAAGTGCTCGAATGGTCAGTCCGCCTCTGCTCCGCCCTAAAACTGCACGTCCCTTCCCCAGTTCCTTTTTTAATTTAAAAAAAATAAAAAAATGTTTGTTTTTTCTAGAATTGCTTTTAAGCTGCCTAAAATGCCTTTTCGAGCCGCACAAATTTCATATCGCCAATCCTTGCGCACTGAACGATATCGCCGTAGTACCCAAAGCAAACCATAGGGCGGCAGCAAAGCGCTGCCAAGTTAAAAGAGGCGCTAGAGAGTCGCCATCCTTCATTTTACCTTTGGTCAAAATTTCCTCCTGTTTGGGCACGGTGGATACTTAAAGAGCCTGTACGGGTATATCGAAAGATGAGGAGTAAATGGTGTTTTGGAAGTGGTGAGGCCTTAAAATGTCCGGTTTGTTCTGAAGGCGGGGTTTCCCCTTTTACTTACGATCCAAACGGGTAACGCTGGGTTCTGTACGCACCCGGCGCACAGAACTGTTTGTCAAGTGATTGTGTTTTTAATTTGTTTTTGTTTTTTTTGTATGGGTTTTTTTTTTTTTTCTTCTTTTTTTTTTTTGACGTTCGATTGTGTGCTTTTCCTATGGTTTTGATATTGGGGATATGTGGACATTTTACGGGTTGGGTGGTCGTGGTGTTTTTTTTTTTTTTTGGGTGTGATTGTCTTTCCTGTGGTACAGTCACTGCGCAGTGGTCACAAGTTGTACTGGCTCACCCACCACACATTCTACTGGGGTGGCCAAGTGCACCAGAGATGGGTACGGATGGGACCCCCGGTAAAGTTAAAAGTTCAGACATTCCGGAATTAGATTTTTTTTTTTCATTTCTCTTTAATTGGGACGTGACTGACTTCTGAAACTGACTCCCCGAGGTCACTGCGTGCCAAATGTCTAGAGGAGGACTAATACCCCATAACAAGATTTTAAAGGACATCTCCATCCTGAACTGATAGTTTATGTATATGGTGGGCTCTACATTCCTATTGATAAAAAATAAGTAATCTATCACGGATGGTGGGAACCTCTCATGGTCACCATGGGCATACAGACCGGGAACTCCTCATGGTCACCATGGGCATACAGACCCGGGAACTCCTCATGGTCACCATGGGCATACAGACCCGGGAACTCCTCATGGTCACCATGGGCATACAGACCCGGGAACTCCTCATGGTCACCACGGGCATGCAAACCTGGGAACTCTGCACAAGGATGGTGGGAACACCTCATGGTCACCACGGGCATGCAGACCCGGGAACTCTGCACTGGGATGGTGTGAACTCCTCATGGTCACCATGGGCATGCAGACCCAGGAACTCCTCATGGTCACCATGGGCATGAAGACCCGGGAACTCTGCACTGGGATGGTGGGAACCTCTCATGGTCACCATGGGCATGCAGACCTGGGAACTCTGCACTGGGATGGTGGGAACCTCTCATGGTCACCATGGCCATCCAGACCCAGGAACTCTGCACTGGGATGGTGGGAACTCCTCATGGTCAGCATGGGCATGCAGACCCAGGAACTCCTCATGGGCATGCAGACCCAGGAACTCCTCATGGTCAGCATGGGCATGCAGACCCAGAAACTCTGCACTGGGATGGTGGGAACTCCTCATGGTCACCATGGACATGCAGACCCAGAAACTCTGTAAATGGATGGTGGGAACTCCTCATGGTCACCACAGGCATACAGACCCAGGAAGTCCTCATGGTCACCATGGGCATGCAGACCTGGGAAGTCCTCATGGTCACCATGGGTATGCAGACCCAGAAACTCTGCACTGGGTTGGTAGGAAGTCACTATGGGCATGCAGACCCAGGAACTCTGCACTGGGATGGTGGGAACTCCTCATGGTCACCATGGGCATGCAGACCTGGGAACTCTGCACTGGGATGGTGGGTAACCCCCTTATAGTAACCATGGGCATGAAGACCCGGGAACTCTGCACTGGGATGGTGGGAACCCCTCATGGTCACCATGGGCATGAAGACCTAGGAACTCTGCACTGGGATGGTGGGAACCCCTTATAGCATGTACAGAAGGTGTGCAAACCTGGGAAATGGGGATCTTTCCAACAGAGTCTCAAGATGTAGAAGAAACCATCAGGGGGTTTAATGCTGTAGTATCCACCAAACGCTAAATTATCAGTTTTGGGTTTTTTTTCTTTTTTTACTTGTCATGCTGGTTTTCTCATATGTAAGTCTTATCTGTCAATGCTGGAACTGGTATATATTATAATGTGTTTTCCATCAATTACAATGTTTTGTGTGCCTAGTAAAATTGTTCTTTTTACAGAAAAAAATTAAAATAAAATGTTGACTATCGCTGCTTCATCTGAAATCCATTTTTATATTAAGTAGCTATAACCTGCCGGACGGGGAATGGGAAGTAATCGCAAATAAATAAATTCCAGCAGACGCCGATTGCTTTCACCAATTTTCATGCGGGGCTCTGTGGAGGAGGACCAATGACAACAATTGTCCATTTAAAGCCACTTTATAAAAGCCGATGCAGTCTGTGCCAAACGGGATATTGGGGGTTATTGGCTCCTGAATACGAACCCACCCCCAACACAAAACTCCCCTCCATCACTGACAACCACAAAACACATCACAGACACTATCGCCCAAACGAAAAAAAATTTTTGTAAACTTTTTGGAAAAACTCCACGTTGTTGATGCCAACCATTCACTAGATGGGGCTGTGATCATTGGGAGATTTCATTGTGCCTATGCAAATTATTTTTTATTTATTTTTTTTTTTTTAAACACACAGACCTACCCAAAGACACCCTACACACCCTAAGTACATTCGCCCGCCCGAGTGAAGGTTCTCCCAGCTTCCCTAGGCCCTAGTTGACTTTTCTCTACGTTGGAGATAGAGATGATCCCAAAGTGCAGATGGGGCTAAATTATCATCAGATTTTACAGATTTGGATGACCAAGTAATTTGTGTACTTTTTTTTTTTTTTTTACCAATTCCATTTACTAAGACCAGCTTTTGGAGGCCCGAACCAGGGGCTGAGGTTGAACCGAGAGGAAGGGGGTGGACCTCCAAAAGCTAGTCCTAAAAATGTCATTGTTACAAGAATTAAAGGATGGATGATAGCATAAGGTAGGGTTATAACCCGTCATTTTCTTCTTTGCTGTCTGTGTCCCATTGGGGAGATTTACCTTCACTTCCTGTCCCATAGCCAAAAGAGGAAGTGGAAGGAAATCCGTCCAAAGTGAGGGAGTCCTAGGTGGTCACCAGAGCTGGTGTCTCCATTGGAGGAGTTCCTGTTCCGGTGACAACCCAAAATTTAGAAGGTTCTTTCACTTTGGTGAAAACAGTACAGGGGACATACAGAGAGGGTGAATGTCCCATTGGGGAGATTTCCCTTCACTTCCTGTCCCATTGCCAAAAGAGGAAGTGAAAGGAAATCCGTCAAAAGTGAGGAAATCCTAGGTGGTCACCAGAACTAGTGTCTCCATTGGAGGAGTTCCTCTTCCGGTGACAACTCACAATTTAGAAGTTTCGTTTACTTAGGGTGATAACAGTCAATGGGACAAATAGGGGGAATGTCCCAGGGGGGAAGTTTTCCCTTCACTTTCCATCCCATGGCCAAAAGAGGAAGTGTAAAGGAAATCCATCCAAAGTGAGGGAATCCTAGGTGGCCACCAGAAGCCGATTCTCCATTGGGAAGGAGTTCCTGTACTGGCAACACCCAAAAAATTAGAAATTTCTTTCACTTTGGGTGAAAACCATACAGAGGACATACAGAGAGGATGAATATCCCATTGGGGAGATTTCCCTTCACTTCCTGTCCCATAGCCAAAAGAGGAAGTGAAAGGAAATACGTCCAAAGTGAGGAAATACTAGGTGGCCACCAGAATCCGAGTCTCCATCAGGGAGGAGTTCCTGTCCTGGCAACAACCCAAAATTTAGAAGTTTCTTTCACTTTGGGTGAAAACAGTACAGGGGACATACAGAGAGGGTGAATGTCCCACTGGGGAGATTTCCCTTCACTTCCCGTCCCATAGCCAAAAGAGGAAGTAAAAGGAAATCCCACCCAAAGGAGGGAATACTAGGTGGCCACCAGAATCCAGGTCTCTATCGGGGAGGAGTTCCTGTTCCGGTGACAACCCACAATTTAGAAATTTCTTTTACTTTGGGTGATAACAGTCAATGGGAAAAATAGGGGGAATGTCCCGGGGGGAGATTTCCCTTCACTTCCTGTCCCATAGCCAAAAGAGGAAGCGAAAGGAAATCCCTACAAAGTGAGGGAATACTAGGTGGCCACCAGAATCCGAGTCTCTATCGGGGAGGAGTTCCTGTTCCGGTGACAACCCACAATTTAGAAGTTTCTTTTACTTTGGGTGATAAACAGTCAATGGGAAAAATAGGGGGAATGTCCCAGGGGGAGATTTCCCTTCACTTCATGTCCCATAGCCAAAAGAGGAAGCGAAAGGAAATCCCTACAAAGTGAGGGAATCCTAGGTGGTCAACAGAATCAGAGTCTCCATTGGGGAAGGGTTTTTCTTTTCTGGCAACACCTTAAAATTTAGAAGTTTCTTTCACTTTGGGTGAAAACAGTACAGGGGACATACAGAGAGGGGGAATGTTCCATTGGGGAGATTTCTCTTCACTTCCTGTCCCATAGCCAAAAGAGGAAGTAAAAGGAAATCTCTCCAAATTGAGGGAATCCTAGGTGGCCACCAGAATCCGAGTCTCTATTGGGGAGGAGTTCCTGTTCCGGTGACACCCACAATTTAGAAGTTTCTTTTACTTTGGGTGCTAAGAGTCAACGGGAAAAAAAAGGGGGAATGTCCCATTGGGGAGATTTCCCTTCACTTCCTGTCCCATAGCCAAAAGAGGAAGTAAAAGGAAATCTCTCCAAATTGAGGGAATCCTAGGTGGCCACCAGAATATGAGTCTCCATTGGGAAGGAGTTCCTGTTCTGGCAACAACCCAAAATTTAGGAATTGCTATCACTTTGAGTGATAACAGTAAATGGGACAAATAGAGAGGAACAGGCTCCCAATCATGTGACCACTGTTGACAGCCAATCACACCTGAATGAGAAGGTCATGAATGCACCCTCCCTCCAGTTAAAAAAGTCAGCAGGAAGGGGTTATTGTCCATATGAAGCAATACTCCATCTTATTAGCTTTATAGTCCCGCCCCCATCCACCCCACCCCCTGCATTTGACCAATTTTGCTTAGAAATGACTAAAAAAAAAAGAAAAAATTTATTTCACTTAAAACATTGCTTCCTATCCTCCTCCTCCGCTGTTCTGGAAGAGTTGAGTAACGACCACAATCCTCACATCCAGTAAACATGTATTGCAAAGCAAAAGAGGGGGCATGTCTGTCCAGATCCGTTGCTGAGTGCTGATTACTGAGGGCACTAGGTCTAGCTCGTATGCCGGTTGGACTGCAAAGTCATATTTAGACTCCCCGCGCCATTGCTGGAACAGGAAAATGCAGGCGAGGCAAAGAAAATGGAGGCCGTTAGTACAACTGCTATCTGCTGAAACATCTGTATCTGTGACTTTAATTGAGCTTTAACGAAAAGCTGAGGACACAAGTACGGGAGGCGCTGATGTTGGCTT